GTATTTGAGGGAAACTCTGTGCTATTTTCGAGTGGACTGTGTGCTAATTTACACTCCCAAAAACAGGGATAGGAGTGTTTCTCTATTCCCCGATTCCGCGAGAGAAGTTCTGTACTTTGACCGTTTGGATAATGGTGGATTCAATGAGTAATAGCACTTTTTCCCTTTATTATGTATTATTTCCGATGAAGGCTTAGTGAGCTGGGATTGAAGGGCCATGGGACAGGTAGCATGAGGCAGTCATAGCAAACGAGGGTGGTCCTGTTTGTCATAGCGAATACGTGCACATGTTGGGTACGTGTGTATTCGTTATAACAAGACCTCAGCCGACTGAGCAGCTAAACCTTTGCACAATCAGAGACTGAACCTACCAGGAAGAAAATGGGCCATATCAGGTGACATTCAATGGATATTTGAAATGGGGCTCGCCATGGAGTTTCTGGTCCCACTGGTTAGAGAATGCAGAACGTGGGGATCATTTTTTTTTTTTGTTTTGTACGTTTGTGTTTTTTGGTTGAGTGTGTTTTCATGAGAAGATTGGTATTCATACTTCTCTTCCACTCTTGTTTGTTGGTCATTAGGGTATTTACATCTCATTATTTGTTGTTCAGATAGCTTTTATATCTCTTCGGAGGAGGTTCTTCCTTTTTTTTTTTTTTCCTTGAGGATGAAGAGTCGAATATATATTGTTTTGGTTTGTGTAGGTTGTTTTTTTGTTTTTGTTTAAGGTTATACATCCTGATTCCATTTCCAGATGGAAACTTACTGGATACTTGACGTTGGAGAACAGATACAACATTGATAAGATTTGATGTTCTCATCTTTAAAGTGGAGATGCTATTTGAATCACCTTTCTTCTAGTGATAAAAAAAAATGCATTATTTTCTCTAATGAGTCACCTTTAATGTCCATATTTATATCAAAGGTCTCTGTAAGACAATTTAGGCTTTTTTTTTTGTAATCTTTATTTTTTTTTATTTCGGCATATTATGGGGGTACAGATTTTAAAGTTTCAATAAATGCCCTTCCCCCCCTCCCCCCACAAGTCTGAGTCTCCAGCAATTTAGGCTTTTTAAAATTTTCTAACTCAAAATACTTCAACTCTCGACAACTACAGAATTCTAAAGCGGCATAAATTCCAGCTCCACCTCCACCTTCAGTAAGCTGCCTTCCCCCGTGTCTGCACATGAAATCCCCCTCCCTGGGTCTCCTTTGCTTTTCTGATGAGAACACTAGTCTTCTTGGATCAGGACCCGATGATCTCATCTTAACTTGATTATATTGGCAAAGGCCTGTCCACAGTCACAGGTTCTTGGGCATAAAATTTCAACACATACTTTGGGGGCACTTGTTGACTAACAGCATCCCCAGAATACACAGAAGTGAAATTAATCAAGGATGTGCAATACTTATACACTGTCAATTTAAAACACTCCTGAGAAAAATTTTATAAGACCTAAATTAATGGAAACTCATCCCAAGATTACAGATTGGAAGAGTTAAAGTTGTATAGCTGTTAATACTCTCCAAGGCAGTCTACAGAATCAATAGATACCAATCAGAATTTTAATTTACATTAGGCAACATTGAGAAGTGCACATGGAATTATAAATTACCCAGAACAGTTAAAAACCTTTTTTTCTTTTTTTTTTCTTTTAGGATATTGCAGGGGTAGAAATGTTTAGGTTACATATATTGCCTTTGTCCCATTCAAGTCAGAGCTTCAAGCATGTCCATCCCCCAGACAGTGCACAACACATCCGTTAGGTGTGTATATACCCACTCCCTCCTCCCCCCTCCCACCTGCCCGA